CAGGTAAACAATGAATTTACTGTCAGGAAAATTAAACCCAGTGCTTATTCGTTATTTCCAAAGAAAATTTCACAAGTTAGTGGGAACAAATAATTCTGTCTTGGGGGAGTCAAAATATACAATGCTGATTTTAGAAGAATTTGGTCCCAAGTTTTATAGGAAACTATTCTGGGGGCCTTGGAACTGTAGAGGCAGAAAGGGGGTGATCCCTTTCCCCCCTCTCACAAGGGTCATGGCTGATACCCCGTAACAAAGGTAGATTAACAAGAGAAAAGCATAAAAAATTCATTTGATCAGAGTTTTATGTGACACAGGAGCTCTCAGAATGAAGAGGTAATAATACAGGGAAAACTATCCACTTTACTGCTTAGGTTCGGTGAAGTATGGACGGCTGTGTAGAAATAAATTATGATTGGCCAAGAAGGGTATGATTCAATGCTACTAGACTGAGGGCAAGACTTGTCTGCCCAGGTTATTCTTGGCCTTCAGTGCAACACTCCTTCCTCCTGGGTATGGGATAGGAACCCTCTGGAATAAGGGTCTTTCTTTATGGCCAGCTATTGCACAGAAAGGCAGAAAGAGAACGGGTGGTGGGGGAGGAGAAGATTGAAGTAGTATTTTTAGGCTTTATGGCTGGTTTTAAGGAGAAGGGGTTCTGGTTTCTGTGACTCACCTTGGGGAAGGGGGGATTCTAGTTTCTGCAGCTTGCCTTGAGGGAGAAGGAGGGCTGAGACACAGCGGGCAGGTGAAGGCCACAGACAGACTTCTTTTTTTTTTTTTTTTTTTTTTTGAGAAAGAGCCTCAAGCTGTTCCCCTGGGGAGAGTAGAGTGCTGTGGCATCACAGCTCACAGCAACCTCCAACTCCTGGGCTCAAGCGAGTCTCCTGCCTCAGCCTCCCAAGTAGCTGGGACCACAAGCGCCTGCCACAATGCCCAGCTATTTTTTGGTTGCAGCCGTCATTGTTGTTTGGTGGGCCTGGACTGGATTCGAACCCGCCACCTTAGGTGTATGTGGCCGGTGCCTTAGCCACTTGAGCCATTGGCGCAGAGCCCACAGAGAGACTTCTTAAAGGCTGCTTCTTAGGCCTTCACTTGGGGGTATTATTTTCTGAACCCCAACAGTATCACCATCTCCTCTGGTACAAATTTAACTGCCATTTTAGAGTCAACACCCCATTTGACCACATTACTTCTCAGGCATCTTTCTGTTCAAAGGATGTTTTCTAGAGAAGGTTTTTTTTTCTTCCTGTCCTGGCATTTGTAATGCCTGTAGAGTCAGGGATTGCAAAACTGTTGCTGAAGGCGCATTCTATCTTGCAGGTAGTAATTCAGAAAGTGCTAATTGCAGCCACACTGTAATTAGTTGAAACTTAAAATGTTTTTGGTTCAGTTCCTTCCTACAAAGCTCAGAAATGGTCTGGGGAGATGTGCACAGGGTGGATGGAGGAGGCAGGGTGAAATCCTGCTGGTGCTTTTTGGTTTAGAATTTAGATCTTACTTTCACTATTACCAGGCAGGAGGATCAAATACAAAACAAAACAAGAATAGTAGGTTGCTCTTAAAGAACAATTCCAGCATTGAACTTCAAGGTTTAAGTAGATACATACATGTAAGGCATAATTTTAGAGTAAATTCTTCATGAGCTAAAGGGTTCAAGTTCTCCGGTCTGGAGTATAATATGAGTTACACTGAAAGTCAGAATGAGTACGAGAAATTAAAAGATTCTAAAACTCATTCTGTCTACATTTAATACCAGGTCCTGTGGTAGCTGTTGAAGATAGACGTAGAGATGAGTCAAGACATAGTCCCTGCCCCAGAGAGGTTCCCAGACTCAGGAGTGACGCAGGTATGCAAAGAGATAAATGAAAGCATCATGCGTAAAAGCTGAATATTCAAAACATCTATTCAGATGTTCAATCTAAGTGCTAAGGGAGCACGAGGAAGGGAAAGTACATGTGCCTGGGCCCTGCAGTAGCTTCACAGAGAAGATGACTTTTTACTGGTGACTTCCTTTAAGGAATGATTCAGCCGTGCCTGAGTTTTTCTATAGCTCATAGCAAAACAGTGATGTAATTACCACTTCCATACAACCTACTAGAGGGGTTACAGGATTCTAAATCTTACCACGACCCTACAAAGTAACTATGCTCTGATAGATATGTGAGAAAAGTGAGTGTCAAAGACTGAGAAGCTAAGGGTCACATAGCTAGTGAAGCAAGATGTGAATCCAGACCTTTTGTCCTAAATCCCATACCACAATCCTGCACTGCCTGGAAATATCTACTTCTGCTCCTGACTGCCACCTTGCATGGGGTTAGCCTGTAACTAAGCTGAGTCAGAGTGTGGGGACTCACCCTGGAAGCCCATCTAGAATCTCAAATTTGGGCCTGAAGAATTGGGTATAAAGTGAAAGCTCAAGATGGAGACTGTATACCCAGGCCACCTAGCTCCCTGTGTCCTCTCCTTTCTCTGAACTTCAGCCACATTTAGTTCAAAGTGGTTTATTCTGGTTCATGTGTATGCCAGACCCCCTCTCTCATGAACCATGAACACCTGAAAATCAGGTAATAAGCTTTATATTTCTTGAGACCCTCAAGGTCCAGCAGACATACATGTTAACGGATTGACTGCTAATCCACCCAGTGCTTTACAGAGTACAGATGTTGATTTGTAGTGGGTTGACTGAGGTGAGATGACTAGAATTAGGGTTTAAATGCTATACAAAATAAGAAGTGAACTAAGCAGAATAGCAGGGTGGTTTGGGGGCTAGCAACTCTTAAACTTGAACGTGCATCTAAATCACCTACCTACACATGTAAACCTGCCCAGTTTGCCCTATGAGAAGGCAGGCACAGCATTACTGTGAAAGAATTCAGGAGGGAGACTTAGCTTGCAAGGGACTCGCAGACCATGTTTCCAAACCCTGTTGCTGTTTCTGGCTCTTTTGACTTCAGGGCAGTGAAAAGCAGTAAGTACAGTAGTAGCCATCATGTATCCAGTATCTATAAAGTGCTTGATGCTGCTGTAGGCACTTTAAGCATGTTATCTGATTCTCACCACATCCTGTAGCACTTAACTATATATATGTACATCTATGTGGACGCTGGGTAGAAAATAATAAAGGATCAATAACTTTCCTAAGTTTAAACAGGATAAGTCAGAGTTTAATCCTTGTTCACCTGAGTCCAAAGTCTGGAGTTCAATAGTTTCTTGATACCAGGTAGCAAGGGAGCATTTCAGGGATGCTCAACCTTGTAGTAAGATGCCCATAGCAGGAGGAGGAGGCAGGATGGAAAAGTGCACTCAGCACCCTTGCAGAATAAGGCCCTGCACAGGGGGTGTGCGCCCTCACTGAGTAAGTTTAAATCCAGGTAAGGCATTTGAGAGCTGAAACTACCTCAGAGAGTATTTCTGCATCTACCTGCTGCTTTACAAGCTACTTGAATAGTTAGCAAATTGCTAAAGTCAGGCGTTGCCTTTTCCCCAGAGACTCTCTAGGAATTTTTCCATCTCCTGACTAGGAGGAAAGCATCAACATAAATTTCTGTCTTGATCTAAGTTAACCAAGGCTGGTGTTAGAATCATCTCCTAAGGCCTAAGAGGGTTTCAAGTTGTCTCCTGGGAAGGACGCCCAACATCACCACTGGAATTAGAAAAAGAGCAATATTTTGCTGGGTGAGCAGGGGGAAAGCAGTCAAAAGACAAAGAGAACAACTTTCTTTCTTTCTTTCTTTCTTTTTTATTGAATGGTAACTATGTACATTAATGCACTTCGAGAACAACTTTCGAACAAACTTTCGTTTCATTTTGGCTCAGAACTAGAAACAGCTACCGAAAGTTTGCTACAGACCCCTTGGCAAAAGACTACTAACGAGCTGTCTATCAATAACTTAACAAACATGTATCTGTCTTTTCCAGGCTGCCAAGACAGAGCAATAGTTTAATTTTTGATGCCCTTATACTGGGTAGCATTGATAAGGCATTCCCATAAGAGTCCGTGTTACTTAGTAATCTTGTCTGTACAATTTTTCACTGGGGCAGATTTTCCATGCATAGAGCTGCCAAAGAATTCCGAATTTGTTTTTTCATCCTGAAATTGGGGTGGGGGAGAATGGGGAGAAGAAAAGCATGGTTTAGATCAATTCATGAGGGAAAACCCTTGCCCTATACGCTTTAAACAACAGGTGGTTTTGCCTTCTGCACCGTCAACTCCTTTCTGCACTGCAGGAAATGGTAGGCGGAGGATACAAACTGAGTCTGAAACCTGCGGCTTAGCGGGTCTGGCAGAGTTGAGCAGTTGGGGATTCCTGGCAGAGAGGAGAGTCGGTTGTCAAGGAGTGAGTCAAGGTCTTCGTGACCCAGGGATGCTGGGTTTCGCCCTTTTCCTTCTCCATCTCCCTCTGTCAATCCATACCCCTCTCTCCATCCTTCTGTTCTTCGGCAGCACTCTGGTTCCCACGTGGAGGGATTATCTTCGCCTCGACCCCACTTTCGGGGGAGTTCCCAGGCTATTTTTAGCGGTGGCTGCGCCTCTAACTCACCCGGGGGAGGAGCCGCGGTAGACCAGCCGGCGCTGCGTGGACAGAAGCCTCGGGTTTTCCGCGCATTGTTAGGGATGAGGGCGGGAGACGGCGTTACACGCAGCCAGCCCCCAGGCAGAGCCCTGCAGGTGGGCGTCTCGGAGGCGGGGGTGGCCCTGTCGCGACGCGAAGGGAGGATTTCCTCCCTCGTCCCGAGGAAAGCCGGCGGCGGCCCGCGGCAGCCCTCAGCAGGGTCCCCGCGCGGGGCAGGCTCGGCAGGGGAGGAAG